GGAGGCCGGGCGGCGCGGGTTAGCGGGCCGAGGAGAGGCTGCCCGGTCCCCGCGGGCGAGCTCCTGCCCTGCAGCGGGCTGGCGGTTGCACCCGAGCCTCCCTGCCCCGCGGTGCGCCCAGACCCCAGCCCCGGAGTATTGTGCCGCCCCGAGCCGGCGTGCATCGGATGCACACCGCCACCGGCGGCCCCACACTCAGCCCGGTGGGTGCTGCGGACCTCTCTTCACCCCGCCTCCTCCGCCCCTCCAGTCGGGCGCTGCTGAGAAGTCTCAGATCGGAGGCACCAGAGGTGGTGACACCCCCGTTATGTCCACACGTAACGTGTACATTGTGAAGGGCTGTCGCCCGTGGGCTCAGTGGCTGCCCCTGCCTCACCTCCAAGTCTGTCTCCAGGATTTAAGGTCCCATATGTTCTTCTTTGCAGCGGGCCAGTCTTTTGATCACATCTAGCACATCCCTCCCCCACAGCGCGCGTGTACACACACACACACACGCACACGCACACTTCCTGATTGCAAGGAGCCCCTGTCATCACAGATCCATTGTCAGAAATGGCTTGTGCCAATCAAAGGAATGTGTCTCTGTCTTTGAAGGAGGGTGCTTTCCACAACCATGTTGCAGGATGTTCCTGCGTGAGTCTGTGATGGCCCCAGGTTGTCCACGCATCCTTGTCATGGTGTGTCCCATACGTGCATCTCCAGGGGACTCTCAGGAACACACCTGAGTGACGCTTCCTCCCAGTTGAGTAACTACATACAAAGCGTGCGCCAGAATCTCCTTTTTGTTGTAATGTTTAACATCTATGGTCAAAGCTTCGTGCTAACATCTATGGTCAAAGCGTCGTGCAGAAATGGGGGAATGTTTGGGGAGGAAGTTTGTGGATTTCTTTTCCGAGGATGACCAGGCCGGTATTGTTCTGGGAATGGCAACTGGCACATGCTCTGTTGACAACATGTGTGTGCCTAGGAATGAAATGGGAGCTGCTGTCGCTGGGACGGGTGGTGCTGCTCTGTGCGTGGTGTGCTGCCCTGGGATCGTATGAACTGGCAGCCGGCTTGCACATGTGTTCAGATAGGTACTACCTTTAGCATAATTTGTTGAAAAAGCTCCCTACTGAGTTTTAGTGATTCTGGAAATGTTTCCTCTGTGGTTCCTAACCCTTTCTGCGGGGCTGCCTTAGACCCATATTTTGAAACAGACCATATTTTGTACGCAGCTCTAGTCATCTTGAAGCTGGTCCTACGACCTCAGATTAAAAATCTGTTAAGCAAAAGTGAAAGGAACTTGAGTTTTGTTTTGTTTTTCTTGAGGATTAGAGTTACTTTGGCCCTGAGCAATGAACAGCAGTGTAACTTACATATATATCCTTATGTTTCCTTCTTTGACTGCAGTGAGTTTGATATTTGTAAGAAATCATTTCCCTATGTTCTAGTAAAAAAGATGGAATGTAAGAGTCTTTCAGAAAATGTTAAAAGTAGAGTCGAAATAATTTGTTTAAATTTGGCCAGTTGATACTGTGTGTTCCTGGCACCATACTCTAAATGTAGCAGATTTCAACAGCGCAGTCTGTGTTCTGTTTTATAATGTCCATACGGAATCTTTATATGTTGGTTGGAGTTGATCTGATCTCTTAAAAGAAGGCTTTGTCATTGCGATGGGAGAGCACCTGCTTTACACAACCATGTTGCAGGGTGAGGCTCTGTTCAACTTTGGTTAAATTCAGTTTCATGTCTTTTTAAGAGTGACGGTGTCTTCAAAATCATCCATACTGAAGTTTTGTTTTAATGGATTTTAGTTGTAGTTAGAGAATTTGGTCTCCACATTTAGAACCTAGAAATAGGGAGAAACTTTGCACCGTTGTGTCAGTAAAGCAGGGTGATAAAAGTCCGTTATTTTTGTTTAATTATTCTGCACCTAGCTTTTGTTTTTTGAAGATGTTTCAATCAAGAGACATTTATTCCAACTTGTGAGAAGTGTTGTGATTGGGCAGTTATTAAATAAACACAGTGCCAGCTCTCTAGGAGCTTACAATTTGGACAGTATTTTTCATTTAAGGAATCCATTGAGACCTTTATTTGTTTGCATTTTATGGGGTTCTGAGAATAGGGAATTCGTGGTCTTTAGATATTTTGGAAGAGAAGGGAGGCTTGCATAGAACTCACATAGACTTTGTTTCACACATCTGCAGAGTAGCATTTATTACAATAATTATGCAGTGTACCTATGAAATTTGAAATCATGCTGAGGTCGCATATGTCGCATCTTTATTACCCAATAATAAGCTTGAAGTGGCTTATATTGCAGGTTACATTTTTTTGTTCATGTCACGCTGAAGTTTTACTGCTGGAAATTATTTGCCTGTCCTAAACCCAAACCATTTAAAAGTTGCAAATATGGTACTTTTCTTCCTCAGTGTAGTATTAAGGCCAAACCATTAAAATCTCAGGGGACAGTGTGCTTCTTGGTTTAGTTATGCAGAACCTCTCTGCACCAGTGGGAACCAAGGTAAACACCCACACACCACGGGGCCGCTGATCACATAACACACATGGCAGCATTCTCTCCCTGCCAGCTTCAGAGCTTGGGAGCTGGGGAACAATTGCGTAGCAGTGAGCCACTTAAAGAGTGGTGGTGCCAGCAGCTCACCCTCATTAATACAACAGCTTGCTCCAGTCTCTTCCACGCTCCGCTCTAGCCACCCTTCCCTTAGGAGGTTTCAGACCGGACTTGTACTCAGGGGAAGCACCACCTACTCCCTGCAACTGTGGCGCAGAGCTCTGGTTCCTGACGCCAAGAGCTGCTTCCATTTCTGCTCTGAGTATAGGAAGTAAGCTTGTTGCATGGTAAGAAAAGACTTTCCAAGTCTGCAGGGGTGTGTGTGTATGTGTTGATTAATAATGGTGTTGATGTGATTTTTGTTTTCAAATGTCTGAAGCCTATGGAAGAACTACAATATCATGTGAACTGCTTAAAAAAAATCACCCTTTTCTCAAGGGTTTTAAATAATCTTACTGAAAATGTGATTATATTGTGAGTTTCATTTCCCTTGTTCTAAAAAGTCAGTTGAGAGCTAGCAGAAAAAAAAATGTGGATTGTTTTGTATTTGGAACCATGGCCTCTGGAGCTAGGTGGTACCTGCATCTCGTTGGCATTTGTGGGTCTTGTGCTGCTGTTGTGGGTATGATGGTTTTCTCAGCTTTGTTGCTATTTCAGACAATTACAACATGAATTGACTTTAATAGAGGCAAACTGCTCTTGTGGTTAGTGACTTTAGCTCAAGGGAGACAGTTCTTTGGAGCCAGAAAAAACTAGATTTAAATTCCAGCTCCACTGTTTACTGGCTTTATGGCATTGGACGGGTCTCCTTGACCCCTCTGGCCTCAGTTTCCTCATCAGCAGAGTGACCCTTGTTATATGGATTAGAGATGATGTATGTAGTCTCCTAGCCCGGTTCCTGCACATGTTTGTATTAGGAACTCGGTAAGTGGTGGGATACAGGACATGTCAGAGTGAAGGTGCAGATCATTTTGGCTTATGACAAAATTGAGAGGCCTGGTGCTGTGATCTGGCATTCTTTCATTTGTACCGATTTGGGATGAAAAAAATGGCAAATATTTGACTTGAGGCATATGTAAGTCCTACAGGTGCAGTGTGCTTATTGGAATTCTGATTTGTTAGTTACTCCATGGCTGGTTGAACTTAGTAAGGATGAAACCTAGCTCCAAATTCTACAACATTCACAGGCTATGCTTGTTTTAAGTCTATTCAGAGCTTATGTGGTGGGTGAAAGGACTATTTTAGGACATTAACGTATTTCAATGAGTTCTGTGTCCAGAATTGAATCATGTGCAAAGCCTTGTGTAAATTTTCTTGGTTAACACAAGCCATAAAGTGCTTGGTAGAATCAGTGGAGACATCAGTTGCTTATTTTAGTTAATCTGTTTGTTTATATAGCAGTTATGTTTGATTTAAAAATACTTATGAATATTTTTCTTATAGAATTTCTATTACTCTTCTGAGATTTGATCATGGATTATTAGGACTGTAGGTTTGAGTGCCTCGTGCATTTGTGCTTTGGTGGGGAAGGACAGAAAGGTAAGATGCTTTTACCCTGTTAAATGCTTATCCACTCTCCTTTAGGCTCATAGATTGCTTATGTAGCCTTGTTTTTAGCCAAAAAGGCAGTTATATGAAAATAAAGGCATTGCCTTTTCTTTTCTAAACTCTAGTTTAAGACATTACTTTGAAAAGTAGATTCAGTTAAGGCCATGTACAGTTTTATTCAGTGCATACAACTTTTAAAATAGAATTTCTTCGGTTACTACGCAGTTAAACTGTTATTTTTGCAGGAAAGCA